GGGGGGGGGGGGGAAATCCCACTTATCCTTCCAAGTGGGTTTCTTCAAGGTGGGCCCACCCAATAAAACCCGGGTGGGTTTTTTCAAAGTGGGCCCACTTGGCAAACCCTGATTCTGATAGTGATAACAAGTGAACTATGGAATTATAATAAAATCATTGAGTTCATCAGCGCAAATGTGTTTTGTTTTGTATCATTAAAATTTAATTTAACATATACATCTTTAAGATTTTTATAGTCAATTTCTGGAACACTGTTGAAATCTAGATTGTTTCTAAAGACTTTGAGATTGAGAAGCTAAAATTATTTTGATTGTGAAACAAAGAAAAAATGTTAAAATCATATTAAATAAACAAAATTTTTCATATTGCCTTTTTCTGCTGGGTATTTTAAAACTAGGGTGTTAAATATCTTCTAATTTTTTTATGCAATTTTAATTTTAAAGGCATATCTATGAAATGTTATAGTGAGTGAAAAGAATACCTTCTTTATATTACATACTCATTAAAAAAATTTTTGATTTTAATCTTTTTTAACACATTATTGTATTTTGCTAAAGTTTTAAACTTTAAGGCTTTTAGGTGGTGAAGGTATTAAATTATATGCTTTGAGTGCTCTTTGATTGGATGTTCAAAGTACATGGAGTGAAACAAAAGTCAATTACAGCATGACATAAACAATATTAAACTGGTCATAATCATGGTGATTTAATGTATTCCATAAAGTTCGTATTATGGCTCTTTATTCGATATTTGTTTGAATGAGAGTTAAGAATTTTTGATTATTTTTATAGGCTGTTATTTTTATAAATACGTTAAAGATATCTATGTCAATTTTTTTAAGAAAGAAAAGAAACAAACAATAATGCAAATATGTGACCATAGGGCCAGGATAGTCTGGTTGGTAGGGATTGGGACCTTGTCCAAGAGGCCGTGGGTTCGATCCCCACTGGCTGAAGACTCCCCGTGTACGGAGGCCTTTGTGACTCGACAGATTAATGACTGATGTACGTAACACCTGTCTAGTCACAAAGTCCTCCATGTTTTTATAACAAATCATACCTCTGGCGGTACTTTTCCAAGAGTTTCCTTGTCTTCTGGATTAGTTCAAAATTACAAGGATACGGAGTTGAACATTAGTTGTCCTAAATCCAAAATTGGGTTGGCTGTTCAACGACGGTTACGAAATTATAAAATAAAAAATATGTGACCTTATTTTAATCTATAATATTTCTGTACACTTAAATGTGAGATTTTGTTCTATCTTTAGGCCATGTCGGACTGTATCCTGACAGTACTGATTGGAACTGTCTTCTTTGGAACTACAATGAAATCATTCAGATATTTCATCAGCATAAATGCGTTTTGGCATACTTTTGTGGACACACTCATGAGAGTGGCTATGCTGTAGATTCTCATGGAATCAGTTATGTTGTCTTCACTGGCATTGTTGAAACACCACCAGATAGTCCTGCTTTTGCTACTGTCTCCTTGTATGAAGATCAACTAAAAATTATTGGACATGGTTTAGAACAGAGTTATGTTATTCCATTCAAAAATGATAATCTGAATAACTGTGACGAGTCTATTGAAGAGAAAATCAGTAATTCCCCAGCTGTGAAAGTCGAAGTTTAAATCAAACGTAAGTATATGTATATATATTTTATCTGTTTTACAGTGTGTTGTAGGTGAGTCTTCCAGTTGCAAAACTAAAGTGCTTTTGTGTTTTTTTTTAAATTTTTACAAAAGCTTTTTTTACTATCAGTGATAATCATAGAATACAGTTAATAGTTATTTTTCCTCAATTATTGGTAACAAAACAAAAAATAAATTGACTTGACACTTAAGGATATTTTGAACCAGGTGATTCAAATTGATTTATAGTGCACAAATAAAAAAATAAAAAAAAACCCAAAAAAGCCACACATCTCTGACTTTTGATTTAGCGATCAAATTGTCATGTACTTTAGAAAAAATATGTTTTGTGATTGCTTTTATAACTTAAAATATCATCTGCTTAAGAAAAATTATGTATTAAAAGTTAGCCCCGTAAATCAATAATATTGCTGCATGTCAATCCAATCTTTTTATTTGTGCACTGCACTGGCAATTTCAGGTAAGGTTTATGTTTAGTTCTTTTTTTTAATGCTACTAACTACACAGCTAGTTACCCATTAGATTTGATGATTATTAATGTATAGTAAAATACAATTTTTATTTCACCAGAAATAAAGGGTAAACTTCTTTATCAGATTCAAGCAAGAATAAAATAACCCATATAAAATTACCTGAGCTTGAATAGTAAATCCTGTGCTCATCCCTAGCTTAGCCACTAAAAACCGGGTAATGTCACTTGGAGATTTCATTTGAAGTACGCAGGTCATCATCATCATAGTTGACTAGACAGCCCTGGGTGGTCCAATGCCTTGAAATTAAATTCCATTGCATTTTACTTTTCATATTTGTGTGCCTGTTTTTTTCTTGGATAGCAAAAAATTCTGTCTTGTTGATTTCATCAATCACAATCTGGGTTTTCCTCTTTTTATGCTTGTTAATGAATGGTATATGAAGAAGAATTTGTTTAATATGGAATTGTCATCCATTATATATATTTAATTCCCCCTGGTTAATTTTTTAAATATATTTTATAATATCTGGCTTCTTTTTCTGAAGATTTTACATAGCTCAAAGTTTAAACTCGTTCTCCAAATGATGTTAATTTCTTTCCCACTAAGAATGGTTTGCAGAATTTTCCATTTAAAAATAACTATTTTTCTTTCTTCTGCTTCTTCAGAATCCAAGTTCCTAAGCCATAGCTAAGTATTAGTCTGATTTATATTTTATGCAGAAAATCTAGATTTCTTGATTGCGGTAAAGATTTTCTGAATCGTTTTAATCCGTAAAAGGCTCCATTTGTATTCATTGGATAATTTTGGATCTTTTTAAGCGTTGTCAGCTGTAAGTATATTACCATGGTAGGTGAAACTGTGAACAACCTGATATTTGTGTAAATGAGTTCCAGATTGGTTCCTTGTGAGATTTTTATCGATATGGTATTGATATTGATTAGTATAGGCATAAACCAATTTTTTGGGGTGCTTTTTATGATAATTTCCTTGTAATTAGCAGCATGCTCTAAAGAAATCTCAAAAACTGTTCCTGATTTCATTGCAATGCTACCCACATGGGACAAAATTTGTATTGTTTTTAAGAATAAGTTGCCTCAGATGTTTATTTCTGCATCTAAATTAACCCTTAATCATTAATATTTCTTAACCCCATAACAATCGGTTAATTTTCAAGAAAACGGTCATAAAAGTGCCTATTTTGCCAAATACATGTATTTGATTAGTGCTGACATCTAGTTTAAAATAAACTATTTACAATTACCTTAAAAATATCCTGGTACTGCCATCTGGTGTGTAAAATGAGAAATAAAATGTTTTCCGGCAAAAGAAATGAATTAGTTTTATTCTTATTGGCACATTACTACTGAATACTCCAGCCCGGAAATTTCACAGGAGCGAGATATAGAGGGCAAAACCTCATCCCGTCATTTTCACGGGAGTGAGAAGGAGGGGGTTAAATAACACTTTTCAGTAAGATTTAATTATATAAATTGTACATGAAATAACCATTCTTACATATTGAAAATCAAAATTATATCATTGATATTATCTGGACATAATTGTAATTCATTGTAAAATATTGAAACTTAATATATAGGAAGTGAGCTTTCCTCATCATTTTACCAGAAGTGGCTAATTAATGAAATAGTCTAAAGGCTTTAAAACTTAACTTTTGTAATATAGTTTCTGTTTTAAGGAATATTGATTTTTGGATTTATCTGACAAAATTCATTCAAGAGTGAAACACCATCTATAACTTCAAGTAGTTTTTTCTCATGAATGTTTGAATCTATACCATTTATTAATTTGGAATCCCTTTCTTTCTTCATTTTATTCAGTCTAAAAAGGCTACTGTCTGAACTAATCTAGTCCCACAGTGGACTGATCGTAAAGACAGTAGAACACCAAAGTCAAACATCACTGGCTGTGGTCAGTAAGCAGGTGGGTAATCACTTTGATCAACCTGCGTAGGGACCAAGGGTGCTCAATATCCGTCCTTCTGAAACTCTTCTACCTTAAAGTGCTTTATTTCGCGTGCACATAGTCAAGCTATCAAAGCAGGGGAGCCCTCAGCAGAGGATCAAAATAGTGATGGCATATCTTCGAATCATCCTCAGGGATGTTTCCCAGACCGTCGTCGCCAATGGCCCGTTGTGCTACTTAAATACAATATCTACCTACTTGAACTAATCTAAACGTATCTTGCAGCTTTAATATTGTCAGTTTTTTTTAAAGTAATCTCATTGAGATATGAAGGATTAAAAGAAATTGATCCTTATGAGAATTTCTTACTGTTGTGAGTTAACCATTTAAAGAGGTTTCCTTTCTTCTCTCTAAATTTTATAAAGTTTGTATTTTAACATTCAGATTACTTATTAATGTTACAATGCTTTATTATTATTAATGTTTTACAATGCTTTATTATTGTTAATGTTTTACAATGCTTTATTAAAAAGTGAGATATTTAATTTAAAATATTTTATTTTTGTCAGTTATTTATTGTTATTATTACATAAATACTGAATTAGTTTCCTTTTTTTAATATTTATCAAAATTAAGAATTTACATGTTTTTTACATACTAAGATTGAGTCTTGGTCTTAGTTTTTTTTATAGCATATGTACCATTATTTTCACCAAGAAAATTATATAGCACATTGTTTGTAAAAAATGTCTTAATAAAAAGAAATAGTAATTCCAGGTATTTTGTTTCAGTGATATTTTTTTAAAAACATTAAACAATAAAATAATTTGCATCCTGAATTACATAGTGTCATGTTTAGAAGTGCAAGTAACTTTTTATTTTTTAGAAAAAAATATCTGCATTTTTTTGCCTTCTAAGTTAAATTTGATTTTTACATAAATTTCTTGATGGCAACTATGTATTCAAATTATTTGTCAGTATTTTAAAGTTTGATTATTATTTTGTTATTTTGTGAAGTATTTATTTTTTATTTGAAACTGCAAGGACTGTTTATGGAATTCTTTGCTATTTTAATTCAACTATTTCAATTTTATTACTCAATCATCCAATTTCTACTAATCTAAAAAATTCCACTTTTTTTATCACTCATAACTTTTGCAGTTTCGGGACCGAAAAGTTTATTTATCAATTTAATATTTATTTGTATAAAAAAGGACCGAAAAGTTTATTTATCAATTTAATATTTATTTGTATAAAGGGGTTAAAAAAAACAAACAAACAATTTAGACTTTGAATTTCAAAATTTATAGGAACTCTTACGTCTGTTAGACTTTATAGGTTCCTTCTATCTTCTAATGCTAGCAGCTTCCAAAACATTTTATCAGACATGATTTTTCTGATAACAAGCGATTTAAATTAACTCTCATTCAAAAATAGAAAAGAACAAAATGTCATAGTATGTTATTTTATCTAACTATTCATAATAATTGTTTCATCTATTCATATAACTTTTAATTAAACTTTTAATTTATTAAAAGCAAATGTTTTTTTTAAATTATCGCTTAACATTTTCTTGTAATAAGGTATACAGCTATTATATTACCCAAAACGTATTACTGAAATACTTGAAAATCATTGTTTCTATGCTTACAATATGTTGGGTACAATATGTTTTTGATGATTGGGTCTTACAAAGATTTGCTTAAGTTACAGTTTTATCCATGGTTAAAACTATTATAGGTTAAAAAATCGCTAATTTAGATTAGAATGCACGTTTATATATATTTATTTTCCTATTTTTAAAATGTAATTTTTTAAAGAAAAAAAAATATTTAGTAACTCATTACTTTTTAAGTTGGTAATATGTTTTACTATTAATTAAATCTTATTAATCTATTCTATTATGTATTTTCTTTGTTTCAATTGGCTATTCTATTTTCAGATTTATGCCATCTGGCTTCCATTATCATGCCGGAGGGCTAGGGGGAGTCTAGGGAGCGAATGTTTGGTATTAATTTTATCAAGCATTTCTCTTCTCTCAATGGTAAAACAGTGTATTTAATACTGTTTTAAAGTTTTACTCCAATTTTAACTTCCACTCTGATTTATGCATAATATTTTAATCAGCAAACATGCACTTTAAATAAAGCTTACAGTAACTGTAAACTTACAGTTTAGTTTCAAAATTGTAGATACGTTCTTAAAAATTACCCAATTACCTTTTGGTAGTTATGTGTACAACTTATGTCTACACGTGTTTGATAGTTATAAGCTACAACTTTCTCATGTAGCTCCGAGAAAAGTTTACTATTTATATACATTTCAAGGTAATAGAATGAAATATTTTGCACTTAATTGCGTTTCTTAAAAATTGATTTTCTTTTAGTTATAACTTTAACAAGAACTTACAAAAATTCTCAACTTTGTTGTTTAAAGAAAAGATTATCAGAAGTCTTGGGTGTATGTTTGAAGGTTAAAACTCTAATATTTCCCCTCCTTAATGATAAGGCTCAATATATTTAATCTTTAATTTGCAGGTTTTATTAATTTCATGTATTTGAAAAGAAACTGTAAGATATTGCAAACATATGGCTATTATCTCATTGTTAGGATTTTATCAGAGTTATTATTTAACTAACTCATGCATAGTTATAAATCAGTAAAATATCAATGCAGTTTTTACAAATTTCATTTTAGTTATAAAATAAAATGATCTTAAACATTTTCACTTATTTTTTTAAAAATACAATGTCTCACTTTTTAATTTTGCATTTTCTTTTGTTTTTATGATAACATTAAGTTTTAAGATTTTATTTTGTGTTAATATATGGTCTGTGTTTCTTGTGTTATTTATTTAAAGTTGTAAATATTCTATAACTTGTATAGTATTTAGTACCATTAGAAATAAAAGAATTATGCTGGTTTGATTGTTGATTTAATTTCCAAGCATGTGTGCATACTTGTTTTCTTTTCTAAAACATAAATTTTTAATAATTTGCAAGTACTATATGTATGAAATTGTAAATTTGGGTCTTAGAATATTTATCTTTTTAACCATGTAGCAGGCTGTATTCATTTTAATAAGTAACTATTTAATACTATTTAAGGTTAAAAATTAAATAATATATGATTTTTACACTAGTTTGCAGAATTCTGTGAATTTCCAAGACCGATTATTTGCGGATTTCTGCTAATCAATTTAAATTCCGACAAAATTTTCTCGGAGCTCCTCTGTTCTAAAATTTAATTTTTTTTACTTTTCATTAACGAGGTATTTATTCCAGTTCTCATTCATGCACAATTAAGAATTTTTTTTTATTACCCAGATTTTTTATAGAAAAAGACAACTTCGAGGAAAAAAAATCCATAATAACTTTAGATAGAATTAATGAACTAAGACAAACACAAAAATATATATTTGGTTATGTTAAAAGCAAATCTGAAGTGGCAATCATTTAAAAAATTGCCCGCGTGAAATAATGGTATTTTTCTCATTTTTTTTTATAAACTTGTATTTTAATGAGTACCAATTTCATTGAAAAATCAATTTTTAACAGAATTATTTAATCAATGTGATATATTTCCCCCTTTTTTAATTGGGTACAATTAGATGGTATTAATTTTTAATATGATATTACGACATAGAAATTACCTATTGCATGTATCAGTAATCACTTTTCAACGCACTCAATAAAATTGTAAATGCGTGTTTCGATCATATTAGATATAAAAAAAGTAACCTTCCTCTTTTTAAATATTGTAAATGTTAATTTTGTGCATAAAAATAAAATCTGTAAAATATCTTCGTAAAAGAGAAAAAAAAATTAAGTACTAAATATAAGGAAACCGAACATAGAGAAAAAGATTTCTTGCATTCACATGTTTGTATATTATTTGTTAGAAAATTCCTAACTATGTACTACATTATAGCTGTGGTGGTTAGAAAGGTCTTGCTACGTGAACTAAATATATTTTAACATTTGTATAGGTTAATTTTAATTTTCCTGTGAAATATTTTTTTAATATTTATAATGTAATTTCATCACATAATAGTTTTTTTTTCTACGTTAGAGTTAGGATTGTTAAATATTGTGAACATTTTGCTCAGAAGTAAAAAAGCAATTCTAAATGTTCTCTTTCTCATAATGAATTTAACTATTTTCAGCAAAAGATTTTGAATTTTAGTAGGTGTTTTTTGTAGTTTAATTATAAAAATTTTGCTAAATACCTTTCTTTTACTAGTTAGGTCAGTGTTTCCCAAACTTATGACTTTTGTGTACCCTTTCTAAATTTTTCGTAACACTGTGTACCCCTAATAAAAAATGAATGTATTTTTTACTATAAGAAATTTCACAAAAATTCAAGTCACAACTGACTGTTGACACCACTAATTATTAATTGTTAACTCTGCAAAAAATAGCCAATAGAAAAATACATAATCGTAAATTTTCATGGCTAGCTTTGTTTTTAAATAAAATGTTTTGAAATTTTCGTTTGTTACAAGATATTTCGTATAAGAACACGTACCCCTGCTAAACTGTTCCCGTACCCCTAGGGGTATGCGTACCACACTTTGGGAAACACTGAGTTAGGTAATATCAATAATTTATTGACTGTATATTATTTTTGCTAAAAAATTTTAAAGACCCCATTTTATTCAATTCGTCAAATCTTTAATGTCTAAAAAATTTGTTTCAATTTTTTCTTTTAGCACCAATACCGTTTATTAGAGCAAAATAATTTCCTTTAGTTGTATCAAATTTGTTTATGATAGTTAGAAGTTGACAGGCAATTATTAGAAATACCTCAAAGTTTCTTCTGGCAATAAACTAGATTTAAATTTTTTTTTGCCACTAGTGATTTAACAGGTTTTGATTCAACATGTTTTTGTTTATTCCTCTCTTAAATGGTAATTAACACCTCTAATGTGAATACCTTTCTACTTCATTTTCTTTTATAAGGACAGTGATTACAAAACACTTTGTGTAATAATACAATACTTATGTGCAAAATTTTTGACCAGAAATATTTATCATATTTAAAATTTATTTACCCTTATAAAAATGAGAGATGCACGTTTAAAAATTAGCAGTTTTTTCTAACGTTAACTTTGTATGTCCTGTTACGATATATTGCTAAAAACAATTTCTTTATAAAAGTAATTTTATGTATACTCTTGATATCGAATTTGAAGGGACGCTTAAAAAAATTTTGAGATAGCAAGTTCAGAATTAAAATGTTCTAAAAAGTAGAAAAATATATTCTAAAATATTACTCTAAAAAGTAGAGACATAAAACATAAGAATAAATACTAATAAATATGTATGTAATGATAGTTGACGATAAATCTAAATAAAACAATTATAATTTTATTTTTAAAAGTAATATAAAAATAATTATGCATTAAATAGAAAAAAATTGGTTTACAACAAACTTACATTGTGATTTTTCCGAAAAAATTCACTTTCTATTTTGAAAAAAATTCAATGTAACAAGGTTTTGAGAAGAAATCCTTCAACATAGGAAATAAAATTAACATAATGTCAATATATAATGCCAACGGGGAAAATATTTTTTCGACATGACAAGGTTTTCGAGATTACGAGAGCATACTGCATTTGTATTTTTAAAAAAAGTTTTTAAGTCTTTTTTCCAGATGAAGTGAGATTATTCTTTCAACTTCATTTTTGACAAGATTCTGAAACTACAGTTTTGTTTCAGATTGATTCGAAAATAAAATAGTTCATCTAGAACTGTTCTAATAATTTGATATCACCAGATGGGGTCCTGCTCACCAAACCACAATGTTGCTTTATATTTATCTTTGTCTCTCTCTAAAATGTCAATATTTTTCATGAAAAAAACTAATTAATTTTTGTTAAGTATAATTATTAAGCAAAGAAAATTTTAATAAAATATATTTATCAAGAAAACATTTTATTAATATGCTTCATTAATATATTTTATAATATACTTCTAACTTTTATTTAATGCTGTTCATATTTGTTACAACTTTTATGCAACAAATGTGAGCTTTACAATACCATAATGTAATTAATGTTAAGGTTTTACCTAGTGTAGTCTTTCATCAAGGGCAACAGAACTCACCTCTGATTTAACTGCCACATTTTTTTTTATAAAATAAGTTGAATAATAAGTCCGATAAACCTTGGCAATTTTATAGCAACCCATTCTTTTTTTTACTTTCAACAAAGCTGAGCGAGCTTATAAAATAAAAACCTCTAGAGATAAATAAATTTTCCTACTTCTCTTGTATGATCATTGTTTAAACCAAAAAGCAAGAAATGATTCACAATAAAAGCACTTAAAAGTGAATTAACTTTTGAAAACTTGCATGGTTCACAAATGAACCTTCACTTTCAAAGTATCAAATTTCAACTCTCATTGAAATTCTATGGGCGACAGAGCAGCCAGCTTGGTATTTTTTTATTCCATAATCTTAATAAACATTTTTATGCATCATTCATCCTGAACATAAAATTTCATTGTACTTTTTCAGGGTGCGTAGCCAGATTTTTCAACAAAAAATAAGCATCTTTTAAGCACTCAAAAAACATTTTAATCATTTTCCAAAAAGAAAATCATAATTAAGATCTGGGCCGTAAAAGAAATCATTTTTTACTATCATTTAAAGTTCTTAATTTAAAAACATAAAATTCAAAATCTTTACATAATCATAAAATAACTAGTTTCTAATAATATTGCAGAGAAAATTGTGAAAAATCATGCATTTTTTGTAATTTAGAAGGACAATCGACACGGCAAAGAAAAAATCTCTTTTTAAAAGATAGAAAATTAAGCACGTTTTACAAACCTCGAATAAAAAAAGCACCTTTAAGGGTTTTTAAGAAACATAAATCAAAAATAAGCACTTTTTAAAAACGCTACACACCCTGTTTTTGTATAAATTGAATACATCCAAAGCAGTGGCAACTCTTATTTTTTAATATAGGAAAAACTTATATGAACCTCTATATAAATTTAAATAATTTTTGTAAGCCTCTTTATTAATTTACATAATGAAAGCCTTTACATTAATATTTTATATAGAATCTCTATTTTAATGTGGCTCTTTTAAAATTTTATCCTGATAGACTAGGGAACTAAACCTGTATTAATCCAATAAAATATTGTATTAATAAGTTGATGTAAGAATGTATCTGTCGTTTAAAAATTTAATTGATTGCTTAGCAATGTAACACTACCCAGATGCAATAAAATAAGTTACGTTTAACCACACCTGCCAACCTTAGCAACTTGTTGTGACCTCTGCAAAGTGTACTTATATACCCTGAAAATAAATTGTTTAAAACAGTTTGGATGATTGATTTGGCATTTTTTTAAAAATGTTGCATAGAAATTTTATCTGAAACACCTTCTGATTTGCTTTTCCATTTAACAAATTGTCTAAGTTAGTTTTGACAAAGAACAAAATTAAATTTTGGTTATGTGACCAATTAATATTGGAATCATCATAGTGCTTGTAAAATTACATTTTTCGACAAGATTTGAGCTTATAAATTTAACAGATTTGTAAAAAATCCATTAAATATAAAAGATGTAACAGAAACATTACAAAGAATTACCTAAATCGATATAAATCTGAAAAATATATATATATATCCTCAAAAATAGAAGGAAAGGAAAAAAAAAAAAGACTCTAAAACCAGAAAAATAACCTTTAAATGAAAAAAAAAAATGTCCTTTAAATTTTCAAGAAAATGTTTCAGTTCGCTTTTTTAATTACTAAATATAAGTAATTTATGAATACAATGCAATTAATATCCCATAAAGAAAACTAAGAATTAATAACATTTATTTTCAATCTTATGAAGAATTACAGAATCAAAATTGCATTGTACTATTAAATGTTTTGTCATTCTTAAATTCAAATTCTTTTAGCCTGAAACTTCATTCAGCAACAACACTTATTGCAGCACGTTTAAAAAACACGATTCAGTGATTGAGTATTACTTTTCCTATTTTAACATTTCTTAGTTTTACTAATTAGTTACTTAGTTTTACTAATTTTAAATTAGTTTTCATCACGATTCCATTCTACGTTGTTAGTTTTACACTCTCTTTCACTTAATTTTTAAATACACTTATTACGAAAAACATTCTTGAATTGAAGGAATCTTTTGAATGCATGTAAATCCATCTCCTTTCTTGATCATTTTTTCAAATAGTCTTGACAAATTCAATGTCTTTAATAGGATTAAATTATGATAAGCATAATTTGTATTTAAGTAATCACTATTTGAGACATTCTAGTTGATGAGAGGGGGATATTGAAAAACTATTCCACAAAACTTGTTGCCAGAAAAAAAATTCCTGGATGTTTTAAAACAATGCAGCTGATTTTTTTTTGCCTGAATTTGCTTAATGAGTATGACTAATTTTATTAGAAAATTTCCATTCCTCCCGATCAGTTAACATAAAATTCCAGGTTCAAAGGAAATTAAACGAAATTTATGCTTAAAATAAAAAATGCAATATATATATTTAATACAAAAATAAACATAATTATAGTATTATGTAAACTACTTATAAAGAATGTAAACGATAAATTAAAATTTTTTTGTTTTATACCACGATTCAGATATGTTATATGTTTTTAACTGTTGAACAGATGATTTGATCCTATTTGGCAAAAATCGGTTAGAAGTGGGATTTTGCCTACACCATAAGGCATTATCATGGTGTACATAAACAAGGAATGGAACTGAAAAATGAGTAAAAGGACAATAGATTTCAAATCTTGGAAAACATATGCCACATTCAATACACCTATTCTTGCCCAAAATATAAAATAAAACAAAATTATTATATATATTTTCATTTGATAATTAGAATAATTTCATTTAAAAAAAATTCTAAGTTTAATATAAAGACAGCAAAAGTCTATTGAAAAAGACTCTTGGGAAATTCACTCGTATTAAAAAATAGTCTGAGGCAGTAATCTCATAAGAAATGAGGAAACTCAGCACCAAACCCTAACACCTAGTCACTCAAAAACCTTAAAAATTGAGAAATAATTACACTAACATTTTTTTTAAATGATACAGTAACATTTTATTAACTCATTTTCAATACAATTACAGAAAAAATAATAGGTTACAGCCAATTTAAGAAAAATGTGCACCAACTTTACATTCTTTCAATATTAGAAAACGAGGATGAACACATTTTTGAAACATTCAGATGTCACTGAAGGAAATTTAACAATGTTATGGGCTCCTACTGATGCTGAAACACATGATACTATATACAAAATGGAAGAGGAGCACCTTAAAATTCTTTTTTCTTTAAAAATCCTTTCTTTAAGAAGCTGCTTTCTTTTCTTTCTCCTTTTCCCCATCTTCATCATCACAGCTATTTCCAGTGTGCCAGGTCAACCTTTCTTCATAGAATTTGATCACAACCTGTGGACATTTCACATTAGCTACCTTAGAAGAAACAAGATCAGCCTCATCGCATCCTTTCCTATTTACGGGGAAAAGAAAGAGTTTAGAAATGAAGTTGTACCAAAATACTCAATAACAACCAGGTTGCATGCAAGAAAATAGCCGTAAGTGCTACAAAGCTTTCATTTTAAAGATGATTTAGAATACCATTTCCGAGTGATAGTACCCCTCAAAATGGGAAATCTGCAAGAGACAGAGAGGGCACCTTGATCATGATTGGTTGTTAAAATGCATTTGTTTATGTCAGCAACTGATCTTCACATTCTATATCTAGTAAGCCAAACCTGTCAAGTATCAATCTCACACACTCGTAATTGTTTCACAAAAATTTTAATTCTTTCACTATTTATTTACCTAGAGACCTAACACCAAGACAGGCACGAAGTTACGAGGAATATAAACTAATTACGCAAAGTTGCCAGAAACACGAAAGAAAAATATATCACGGTTACAATAAAATATATAAATAAATAACATATCTGTCAATATTGGAGAAATAAAATAATGGAGATTTTACAAGCGTCTTTTTTTTTTACAGCTTCAAGCAAAGTTGGGATACATCATGCATAGGGCTGCAGGTTTGTCGCTGCGCGAATTTCAGCGAAATTGTCATCTTTTTTCCTAAAATCCGCGAACTTCTCAATATGTCTCGACTTGCACGAAAATTGCTTAAAATTTGATTTCTTTCCCATTTATTATTTTTATTAAACAGAATTTTTTATTTTCCTGAACCTTAAATTGAACATGTAAAATTGATTAGATATTTAGGGGAGTGAATCAATAGCAAAATGACATGAAAATAGTTCAGAGATAAGAGATAATCACAATCTTGTCAACTAAGGTGGTCTTTCTACACTTAGGGAGGGTAATTACCTTCCTGAAGTCAGTAAGAGTACAAAAGAAATTGGAATCACAACAGAAGGAAAATGTTATAAATCAAATCTTTGACAGAAAAATTGTTATACATGCTATTGCACCGGGCAATGAAATTTCTACATATCCAGTTAATTTTTCCTAGACGGCTTCTTGTGATTTCTCAAATATGGATCAGTTTCTTAGATGAAAGGAGGGGGGGGGGCTAGTAGTTAGTAGCAACTAGTAACTAATAGTTTGAATGTAGAATGTTTGAGTTTTCACTGCAATTACTTCTTACAAAGCAACGGTCAAGGAACTGCGCGCAGGTGAAGGAAAATTGATCGAGTTTTGAAAATCAAAGACCGAGTGCTCCAAAATTGGCAATTTGAAGTTTGTCGGTGCCTAAAAAAAGCACTGAAGCAGAAAGATCGTTTATAAAAATGGATTAAGTGATGAAAGACGAAGGAGAAATGAGAATAATCTGACAATGTACAATACTTTGTACCAAAATTCAGTTCACATAGTACATAAAACATATTAATATATCTTTTAATACAACTTTATTAAAATGTGAATATCAATTCAAACATTTGTGTAATAGCATACCTGCCAACTTTTAATCCTTTCTATTACGATTTTTCCCAGTGGTATTAAAATGGAATAAAAATTTCAATTTTAAGCAAAAAATACGTTGTATTTGAAAAAGCTTAAGCTGCCTACCAGGATAGTAACGCATGTTAATATATATGCTTCATTTTTTTAGGAAAGTGGTGATCAAAATCATTTAAAAATTTAGATTATAAAAGAAAAAAAAATATTTACTACCACTTTAAATATAAAAATAAAATTTTACACCAAATGCGTAAAAGTTGGCAGGTATGTAATAGCATGAGACATTCAACCCACGCCAATTCTATATTATTATATAGATTCTTTTAAATAATTATCACTATTCAATATAATTTTTTAATATGCATTAAATATTCTTTTCATTTTTTAGCTGTTTCTGTTGCAGATCTCCAAGAGATTTTTAAAAATCGTAAAATTGTAATACTACTTCAACATTGAACACTAATTTCCTTTTTGAGACATGAAATTCAAATGAACATTTAAGTCTTGTGCATAGTTCCTTTCAGTAGTTATCACAATCAAGGCATGCAAATTTCATTGCTTCATCTTTTTATTGTATTTTTTTTTTACACGTATGATTTGTGCTTGTTTTCTTCCATAACACGTGGTATCGTCTAGTTTTCTCGACAAATGCATCAAGACTTCTACACAGGGATAATTAATGTATTCCCAAAATACAGAAAACCTAAAATTCTGTGTAGAAAGGTGGAATATAGGATAAAAATGCAGAAGAGCAGACAGCTATATATTTTTCACAAGAAAAAGAGCAAATTATGAAATTTTCAATTATTTCTTAAATTCAAAATTATTTCTAAATTCTTAAAACATAAGTTGTCAGAAAATGCAATAATTATTAGAGTTTGCATTCAAACTTATATCTACTTTAAAGGCTTTCTATACTGAAGATCTAACTTAATAAAAAAATACCATACTGTATAAAACCAATAAGCGAAAAATATACACAAGCATATTTTTTACCATTTAATCAAAAACATCAGTTCTCCACCAGAATCTGTGGCACCAATTATCCTGTCAGGCTCACAACCTCTGTCAAATCCCCGTAAACGATCCTCTTTTTTCGGAGTCTCTTCACCTTTTAACTAAAACGAATAAAAATAACTAGATTATAGCAAAACTAAAATTGTAAAATATTTCATGTTCTACTCCCAGGGTTGGCAGGTTTTTGACGGTTTAAACCGTCGCATCAAAAACCTATATTCATATGTGAAATTTAATTAATACATAAAATTTATATATTTTTTTTATAAAGGATAGTGTTTCTAAAAATGTTCTAGAAAAAATAAATTTAAAATTTTGAAGAAACACTTATATTTTGAATAGTAACCAANTGTTTTCGCGAAAGTATTCACGAACGATTTTTTCTGTCAGAAAGAAAAATTAATATTCGTCTTGATCTTTAAAATTATATCAATATGAATTTTTCTACAACAAATCATGTTTATTTTAATTGATAATAGTAATTTACCTTAGACATTTTTAAAGATAAACATTAGCAGTTTTGTACATTAGACATGTTTTAAAGAAAAAACTTTTTAATATTCTTTTAAATCTTCTTAATAATCTTTTTAACATAAGACAATACAAATTTAAGTGCTTTCTGTTAAACACACAGAGTAGTTAATGTTGATTTACAGTATATTATTCAGCCTATTCATTTACTATGCTGAAAATTTAGTTTATCCAAATACTTGTGAATTTTATTCTGCTGAATACTATATAGTTTTGTTGAACATCTAAATATTCAGCTGCTGAATAATTACTTCTTGCTTTCAAGATATGCATTATTTGTATTCTTAATACAAGTGGAGAAAAAAAATTAAGAGGTAAAAATTGTTTTAAAATGATAAGTGTAATAATTATAAATAAATATAATAAACAATATGAATTATATTTATCATTATTCACAAATATAACTACTTTTAAATTCAAATTAACATACTGGATAATAAAGATATTCGGCATAACATTAAATTTTTTTTTTTATACACTTGTATCAAGTTTGTATTTATACAACATAACTTGTAAGTTCCTTACAAATATTAGTTATATGTCAAAAATGCATAGTAATAAAGTATTAATTTTCTTAAGTATCAAAAAAAAAAATTTTTTTTTTTCTTTTCCAAAATATAAATAAAAAAAATTTTTTGCAAAATTTTTCTGCACATGCATTTGAATATAAATTTCTGAGATTTTAAATCTGTTATTTTACCTTAATTTTAATTAAAAAATATTTTAAAACCTGCTGATTACCTATAGTATAATTAAATTTCAATATAATGCATGGCAACTGTTGGTAGTTTTGAAGTTTATATATTTTCTTGACAAACTTCAGTTTTTGACGGTTTAAACCAGTTTTATACCCTTGTCATGTCAAAATCCATCTTTTGACGTCAAAAACCCAACCCTGTCTACTCCTAACTTTAAATTAGAAGTATCAGTCTTTAAGATATCTAAAAGTCTTTTTAAAGTTTTATAGTTGAAGTTGGAAAAATAAACAAATAAAGATTATACAGACGTAATTACAGGAAGCAACATATGCATACATAAAAGAATATATATATATACTTTAGCAAACTACAAAATCCATGATAATAAGTGAAAAGAGAATAATGATAAAACAGAGTGTAGTTACAACGGAACCACAAGAATCAAGCATGTTAAAAAGACGCTAATTAAATAATGTCATAACTTGTGTAAATTTATTTAAAAAAATTATTGCAATAAACAGTGAAAACTCATCAGAAAAAGTGCAATTAGGTGCCTGATAATATTAAAATCCGGATTTACAAAAAATTATGCACATCTAATTGCAAGCAAATATCACACAATTCTTCTGCAAAATGGCTGCCCATTAAAATATAAATTACGAATGAGAAAAAAAAAACATTCCTAGCAAGTTTGCTTTAGTAATTCATTAATTAATTAGAGCCAAAATTATTATGGATCTTTTAATTTTAGTCTTGTGTTCTTGAAGTTATCTGTTGTGGTGCTGGAAAAGGCAGAATAAAAGTATTGTGAACAGGATATGGTAAAAGGAACTAATAAAAATTTTAGATTAGCGGAACTATGGGTGAACATTGTTGGAATATGCATTTATTTATGGAAGAAACACATGCTTGATTATAAAATACATAAGATATCTTGTTACAATAAGTTTCAGTACTGCTTAAAGAAAACATTGTTAAGAATACATTTATTAAAGAATCTGTATAAATTGAGTGTCAAAACGTGATGACTCAAAAGTATGATTAAATTTTTTTTGTTTTTATTACAGAGTTATCACTCAAATCTGGAAAAAAAAAAATTCCCTGTACATGTACTATATATTAAGAGGAAACAACAATTACTGCGCTCTTGTGTGAGATATATTAACTATATTTATTAATTTTAATTGCTAGAAAAACAGCTGAACATAATGGTCAAATATATCCCATAGATTACGCTTTGAGTGGTCACCAGACAAAAATAAGAAACAAAAAATTCCCTGTATTTTCCCAGTTCGTAAAGAAAAAATAAATAAAAAAAATTGAAATTCCTTGTTATTTTAGGTGATTTTTAAATTTCCTGTATTTTCCAGGTTTTCCCTATGGCAGGGGTGATTGTGAACCCAAGTCAAAATTCTGGAAAATTTCTTGAGTAAAAAAAAAGAAGTTTAAATCGAAAAATTTAAACAGGGTTTTTTCCTTTTTCTCAATATTTCTTGGTTTACTTAAAATATATTTAAAATTTTACACAAACCTATACCATTTACAAAATCCCTATGTCGACCTGGAGAAGTAATTAAAATTTACAAATATATCTTTTTTTTTCTTGAGTTTATGATTATAATAACTATTTACAGATAAAAAATTAATATTAATCTTGAATACACGCTTATAAAGTATCTGACTCTCCCTTACAAATAAAATAAACTGTGGTTTTAAGTTCCACCTTTGAAAATTAGATTTCCAGAAACTTTTGCGACCAATGATTTTTTGAACCACCTGAACCCTCGATCTCCTGAAACTTCCGGATCACGGTTAGCAAAAAATCCGGATTTTTTCCGGAGCACAATCAGCCCTGCTATGGAGTGGCAACCCTGTATTATGTTTAGAAGCTCTCACGGCCCACACTTCAGCGGTTGAGCACCCTAACTTTTACTGCCGAAATTGCTGTCAAGAGTAAAGTAACCTTGTCTCTCAATTTACCACTTGGTCAAATTTTTGCTAATTGAACTGTTAATAATTTCTAAATAATACCAATTTTTAAAAAATAAATAAAATGAGATTAGTCAACCATTTGGGGGCCAGGATAAAGACTTTCAAAAACTTCAATAGGAAAACATAAATAAAATAAAGATTATTAATAAGGTGTGCCAGGGTAGTGGGACATTAAGTAGAAGGCTTAACTTTTACTATACCTCTATCTTTTTCTTAGGAACAACATCAGGTTCTCCATTAGCTTTTCTTTTCTTATCAACTCCACTTTTGTCTTCAACAGCCTTCCCACCTCTTTTCTTATAGTCCTCTTCAAACTTCCTGATCAATTCTGGACAGTCTAAATTTTCAACTGGCTCCCATGTATTTTCAGAACTATAAACAAGTATAATTAGTTAGATTATTCAACAATAAACTTATTACATGAAAACTAAAAAAATAGAATAATTACTCAGGAAACCCAGTCCACTTTAAAAAATATTCTACTTTCCCATTGGTGATTCGTTTGTCTAAAATCTTTTCCACAGTATATTCTTCAGGTTCTTCTTCAATTTGTTCCTTCTTGCCTTTCTTTGACATTATCTAAAATTGTTAAAACAGTTAATATATTAATCTGAGAAATAAAAACACATAACTATTATAACTTAAAAGTCAGTAGAAACAAAATCTATTTGGCATCTTGGCAAGACAGATCACAATACGGAAATATCTCTCTCATTTACAGTGGTCTATTTATATAACTTGGATTTTTCTTTTGAAAAAAATAAATAAATGAAAATAAGAATTCTATTTATTATGTGGAAATGCATGCCAACGAATGAAAAAATGGTGGAAAAATAATTTGTATTTCCAACGAAATTGCTACAAGATAGTATCACAGTGATTAAATACTCATCTATCATAGTTTAACTGTCATAATAAAAGAGAAATTTAGATTTAAGATGAAACCGGCCAGATGAATAAAGCAGCTCAAAAAGTGATAATGCAAGATTTATCACCCAAGAGTTGTAATATTGTTTTAAATGCATCGGGATTTTAAAAACCATAACAAAAAAGTAAAAATCGAAGAATCACTGGATATGATGAAATAAGGGAAAAATAAAGTGAGCAAAAAAAAAGATTACTCCAATTTGCGAATAGTCATCTATTAAAAATATTGCGCTATTTTAAATATATTATGCAAAATTCTAAGGCAATTACCATGGAAGAACCGACCGAGAAACCATAGATACACAAGACAATCTGCAAATTGAGCATGTCAGAAAGTTAAGAATCAAATATGTGATTCACATTTTGACATCTTTTATTTTCCAAAATATTTTTTTCATGTTCGAAAGCTCCCATGAACCACGCATCAACAGTCGATGGACTGCATGTCGATGGACTAAATTTAACCAGGAATCAATGTAATGCTGTACTGGTATTTTGATTTCCAATTTCAAGTTGTGTTACTTAACATTTTAATTCGTTTACTTGAACCAGAAATAAAAATTTTTGCGATACAATTGCGAGGATGAAAAAAAATTGGTTGAGACAAACTATGTAAAATGAACAATTGTGTAAACATGAAATGCATGTTTAATTTCCAATACAGACTTATGTAATTTTCAGCTCTCGACATACTTTCTAGTTTATGGTCAATCCAAAAAGGTTCTTCATCCCTGGTTATAAATTACCATTATATAAAATTTGTTAGATAATTTTAATCACTATTTTACAGGTTGGCCAAAATAAAAGCAGGCATTAAAACATTTATTTATAACAATTACTTTTGGATTTCAGTGTGAGGTTATATTTTCTAGGTCACATGTTACTGAATAACACTTTTCTAACTTTAACCCAGGCTCCCCATAAATTCACTCCTTTACGAAAAGAATATATTCGCTAAGAACTTACATTCTTCATAGTTCAAGAAGCAAGCCAGAAATTAATTTTTATTTAAATTTAAAATTCCTGTCTTATAAAGACTATAATTAAGTAGTTATTATATACAAATACCACGACACATAAAACATAAGCTTAAGACAAAAATTGCTGGATCTCAACAAAAACTGACATTACTTTAGTTTCTAAGCATTTATTAGTTAGAATAAGTTCTGAATAAAACATAGCATTAGTTAGCCTGATAATTATCATTGATAAAACTAACCAAAACACTGACAAAACCTATGTATGCATAGAAAAAGACTAATATTAACTAATTCTTGAATATATTAAGTTAAAAAAGAGAACAATTGAATCAACATAAGTATACTTAAACTTATTATATAATTAGACAGTTGCTTTGAGATATCATAATGAAATTGTTAATTTACTTATAAATATTAAACACATTTCAATGAATAAATCGAAGAAAAGGATAAAAAATAAATTAATTACTTACAGTGTTTGAAGAAAACGAAAATAGTTAAAATTTATCTAACAATATTCCCGCCGATTTCTGTGACAAATTTCAGAACACGAACACCACGCATACACGCCACACGGTTAGAAATGAAGATTCGCGCGTGCCCCTACAAAAACTATGCTAAACTTCGGTACTAAAAGTATATACGAAATATAACGCATTGTTGACCACAAAATTTTCTAACAAAATTATTTAATTAAAAGACAAAGTATATTAAAGCTAAAATATACATAATTTTTGCTCATTTTTAAATTCGGTAATAAATTTACACGCGTTACCGGGAAATTTTTTCTTTTTATTTCCCTCTAATCCTACTTGTATAGGGAAAACTGGAGATTTTCTGACAGAATAAAGGGAATTTTTATACAAATATTAGGGAAATGAAGGGATAAACAATAAAAAAAATTTTTTAATGAGGAATATTGTAGATAATTTTATCTTCAAAATAAAAAATTATCAAATTTAACTGCAAAACTCGAAAGTTAGTTATATTTACATAGGTGAGGTTGTTACAGAATTTATTACCATTTATTTATGAGTAACTTTAATGATGATTGATGATCGGGGTAATTTTTCACGACGCGTTAATAAAAATTAGAGTAATCTTAAAAAAAGTTGCTGATGATAACGCTTTAAAAATCACATGTATAAATTTTTGTATGGAAGAGAAAAAGCGATCTTACGCTCAATTACCAATATATCGTGATTTATTTACGTTATAAATAATTTAAAAACACTTCATAATTAAACAGCAAGTATATTTAGTTTAAAGTAATAACCAGGGAGCTCTGACAGTTCTGTGTCTAGGACCTCCATATTTCTAGATCAGGCCCTGTAGTAAAGTAGAGTTTTATGATTGACTTTTCAAAGCTGTCTGTATACTAAGATGATATAAATGAGCCATCGTTAACAAAATTATAAAGCGACGCTTCCAAAAAAAAAAAAAAAAAAAAAAAAAAAAAAAAAAAAAANTTTACGAATTTTGTTTCTTATAAATATCGAAATTTAATTGAGAATTAGTTATTCGATATCAGGTTTTTTTTCTCATTTTATATTTTTCTTTAAATTGTCTTTAAATTTTTTTGTGAGTAAAATTTTTACTTACTTGTAAATAAGTGTTATATTTTTAAAAAATTTAATAGCTATTAATTTTTTTTCAAAAAAATAACATTTATTTTTCCTCAAAATTCATTAATATAATGCATATGATTCATGCAATGTAATTAAATTTTGAATTAAGAAACTAAACCGGTTAATAAATATAATTACACAAATAAATAATCAAAATATAAATATTAAAATTTATATTTTGTTTGAAATTTTTATGCATTTTTAATAAGCTTATTTGAAAATATTTTTTTAATGTTTATTTTTGCTTCAATTTTATTCCACAAGTTTCTTTTTGTTGAAAAACTGGAATTCTAATTTTATTTGTTGATTTAAACATAAAAACTAACTGAAAGACTGCTGTTAGTTAGTCCAGCTTACAACGGAATGCAAGGTGATGATAACTAAACTCAGTTCTCAAAGAACTGTAAAAAATAGGTCTACACATCAGAATGATCTGAAATTAGACTTTGATATTCCCAAAGAAAGAAAAGATGTTGCATAAAAAAAATATAAGTTTAAAATGTAAGGTATGGAAAGTGTTTCACTCCATATAATAAGACAATACGTAATATAATAGCATGATAAAGCTGCTTGCGATGCATTCTGGTAATGACACAGTTTTTAGTCGTCAGTATGTGACAAAATGACCACCAATGCCACCTGATCTTAATCCATGTGAGTTATGGTTGTGTGGTTACCTGAAAAGTGTTTTGTTCAGTGGTCTAATTCAAACTTAATCGAATTGATGGCATGTATTGCGTGGCATTTTCATGTCAAACTTGATGCATTCCGATCAATGCATACTGTTTTCCAATTTCAATCTTGGATGAAAACCTTGCACAACATATCAACAACGAAATCTTGCACCTATTATACGCTGTATTCATTGCTCATATTTTTTTTTGTCTGCTTTGACATCACTACAATTAAAAACTGATTCACTTTTTACTTCTTTATTTCATTTACATGGATTTAAATGTCACTAACAGCCCAAATTATTTACGTAATGACTAAAGATAGCTCCTTCTATCTCTTAATTGGAGTACTTTCTACTTATGCCATATCCTCTCCTCTCTTTTGTGAATACTCAAGTCTAATTTCAAGATCTTCTGAGAGGTGATTTTTTTCCATGGTAGAGATGAGCTGAATCAAGGCAAGGGATAGATGCTGTATCTGGCTTGTTTAGTGAAAAAAGATTTTAGGCTCAGACTCCTGATAGAATTTTCCAAAACTTTTTTACGACCTTTAAACAAACGTTTGATTTATTTCGTAAGTATAAAAAATGTAAAACAAGTTATAAAAAAATTACAGTGATTTTCTATTTCGTTTCGGTGCTTTTGCTTTGTGAGGCTAACACTAATTGTCAAATGATTTTTATACAAGATTTTGATTTTCTTTATTGACTTTTGTTTTAGATACCTTGGAGTTTTAGTCAGTACTATACCAGGCATTGGACATCGTTTCCTGATGGGGCGGTGTGATAAAAAAGCGACGATAAAAAGCTTGAACGTTTGCTGTTGTTGACAATCCCAGTTCGATATTGCTTTTACACATTTAGTTCTAGATTTTTCGCTTCGTGTTTCGTGATACCGAAATGAGATAAAAAAAGTATTAAGTGCTAATTTCCTTGTTTAGGTATCAAAGATTTATTGGAGAGAACACAATTTGATTTTTATGCGATGTACATCTCGTTATCAGGCTCTAAGTAATGCTATTTATTTTGGGCTCGTGTGAGCCGGATTAAATTTCTTTGTGCTCAGACAGGCTTGGACCTCCAAAGTCGAGCTCGAACTCATCTCTAACTACTACAATTACTGCTACTACTACTATTGCTGCTGCTTCTCTGCTTTGATTTTCTCCTTAACTCTTTGCTTAAGGAATCATTCACACTGCATTTAATTAACCTAGACAGGTGTGTGACCAGGGGTGGATTAAGCGTACGCGGGGCCCTAGGCCATTTAAATTTTTGGGACCCTTAGATTAAATTTTTTTCTCGTATATTTTTTATTTATTCACATATAAAAATATTTATATATCTTTTCATTTAAGAAAGCATATTTAAAATAAATAATAATAATTAAATTTAACTTTATTTTATTAAATTAGAACTAAAAAATAATCATAAAATTATGAAAAAATTAGAAAAATCATTGTTCTTCTTAATTTATTTTCAAAAAATCCATTTTAAGTGGGCCCCCGGCCATGCCTGGCCTAATGGGTAATCCGGCCCTGTGTGTGACTGTTGCAAGACTGCATGTAAGATGAAGTGTTCGCATATTTGCGAATCATTCATTTCCATTATATAACTTTTTTTCCTTCTCCAATACAGCTTCCCACCCAAAGTAACTGGCAGATCACTTCTACTACCATTTTTGAAATGTACGAACGTATGTTCTCACAGCACGTCACATCATTTATATTTATTTAATTATTTATTTTGCCTTTAAAGAACAAACCTCGTAGAAATTGGCGATCGAAATGGGCTGCAGGTGGCGTAGAGCAGAACTCTTTTTCTATGGCAACACTTCACATGCTTTCCCTATTAGCGTGTGGAAAGTCATACAGGAAGGAAGTACGTTAGTTTCTCTCTTGATTTTCATATAGATTAAAATCTTTTAACTTGAAAAACTATATGGAACTGAAAACTACATTAAACATAGTTCTAAAGAAAAGTATCACGGGAATTTTAGAAAATATTTTTATTAAGTAAAAAGGAAAAATATTAAGAAAAAGGAAAATATCGTAGTACATTCCTATATAACTGAAAAGAGGAGGAGAGGGAAGGGAGAAGGGCTAAAGGCATGAAACCGGTCTCTCCCCAGATGGCGTATTCGAGTGTTGCGATCGCGAATATAACTTGAACCAACACAGGGCATCACTCTCGGACGAATAAGTCGAGAGGGGCTGTCGTATATTTTTCATCTTCAGTATAAATGCGCCTTGAGCAACAACTCAACCCAACTGTTATATATATATATCCCGCGATTCTGATGAGTCGTTTTCTAGCCTTCAATGTACAAGCATGTCATCACCATCTTCTCCTAATCATAAATAAAGATCTAATTTACCTTGATTCCTGTATGTAATAATTTTGGCGACGAGTGTAAAAAAAAAGAAGACGGAACTGAATCAATTAATTACGACTCTTCAAGAATTTGTTCAATCAGTGAAATCAACATCAGAATCGAAACGGAGCCCAAAAGACGTCATCGCTACTCAAAACTTATCGTTCGATCCTTTTGATGCCGCTGTCGAATCCTTAGATTGTCATTTTCAAAGACTTGAAAATTATTTCAAATTAAAAGGACTGTTAGCAGACGATCCAGAAACTGAAGAATTAAAAGTACTTGTATTAATAAACTGCCTTGGCTCACGACAATGCCAGCTGCTTTCGAGTCTTACTGCACCGGATATTCCGTCAACAAAAACATTTCAAGAACTTCTATTGCTCTTAAAAAACATTTATCACCGAAACCGAATGTTCTTACCGAACAACATAAAATTTTTTCTAAACATCAACATCAAGGTGAGTCGATTTCTACATTCGTTTCTTCATTGAAAGATTTAATAAAAAATGCTGAATTCAATTCTGAATGTAATTTTAATAACTGTTCTAAATCTATGTTCAACTTATTATTACGATCACAATTAATCAGAGGTTTAGCTGATGCTGATATTCGTGTAAAATTATTGCAGCAAATCGAATCAAATGTAACATCGATGTTACATTTGATAAAACTATTGAAATTGCCTTAGCAATTGAAGCTGCTAAAATCGAAAATAAAGAAGTTTATAAGAGAAATTATCCTAATTATATTAATAAAATATTAAGTTACAATGTAATGAAAAAATACAATAGTAAAATTCGAAATTCCGAAAACGAAAGTAAACTTCAAAACAGAAGTAGATCAAAACCGACTATGAAAAATAAAAGCAATATTAACTTAAAAGAACTTGGATTAGAGGGATTATGTAAACATTGTGGAAAGACAAATCATAAAACTCAAGAATGTTTTTTTAAAAAATAAATTACGGTGTAAATCT